TTTGCTGCAGCTTTTTAATGTGACTTTTACTGTACTTGAGTGTATATACCTAGGAGGGTATAAGGTTATAAGAAGAAACAAATTTATTTTCTCCTACTATCTTATAACACAGAATCCTTCTGTGACCGAATGTAGGGAGTGGGGGAATTTCCCCACACACCAGACAGTCACTTCTGCAGCAGACACTGGCTAAGTGTCCTCTAATTGGCATTCTTTACCTGGAGATAGCATCAAATCCCACAAGTTGAGGGGTTAGTCCGCCAAGACTTCCCTCTACTTCAGATGTCATTGGCATGTCTTGGCCTCCTGAGCTTCTGACCAACCAGCTATTATTCTTGGGTTCCCACAATCCCCTCCTTGGGTTCTGTTAATTTGCTAGAATTGTTCATAGAAATCATGGAAGTATTTCACGTTTGTTTACTGATTTATTACATAGAATACAGAATACAGATGACAGCTAGGTGGAAGAGGTGCACAGAGCAAGAAATGTAGAAAGGGGTAGGTAGAAACTTCTGTGCCTTCTCCAGGTTTGCCACCTCCAGGAACCTCTGCATGTTCAGTTGTTTGGAAGCTCTCAGAAATCAGTCTTTTTAGGTTTTTATGGATGCTTTGTTATATAGTCATGTAGGCCTGATTTATTCAGCCACTGACCATTGGTGATCAACTCAACTTAAAGCCCCCTTCCTCTTCCTTAGAGGATGCCAGGGTGTGGGGGAGTTGAGGGGTAAGGGATGGGTACTAAAAGTTCTAAACCTCTAGTCACATGGTTGGTTCTCCTGGCAACCAGCTCTCATCCTGAGGCTATCTGGTCTCTCCCCCCTCACTCCCCAATCAGTCTTCTCTTTAGCCATTAGTGTATAAAAGACAGCCATATCACTTTGGAGATTCCAAGGATGTTATGTATGCCAGGAATCAGGGACAAGACCAAATATATTTCCCCACAGAGGAATATTACTGGGCTGTATGGCAGGTATATGTTTAACTTTATAAATTATTGTCAAAGTAAACTTTTCCAAAATGGCTGTACTATTTTTGCATTCCTAATAACAGTATATGACACCGTATTTTGGATGCTAATCAGCACTTAGAATTGTCAGTTTTTCTTTTAAGCCATTCTAATGGGTGATATGTCATTGTGATTTTCTTTCTTTTTTTCTTGTAATTTTTTTATTTTAAAGATGTGGAGTACAACTCAGGGTTAGGTATACAAATGTTCATTGTGCAGTACCCTTGTTGATGAGGTGTCCCCTCCCCTCCCTCCGCATATTCCCACTACTGCCAATCCTGCCCCCCAACTTCCTGCTACTGCCAATCCTTTTCTTATAGTATTATGATAATTGTTCAAGGTTCATTTATGAGTGAAAACATTTGATATTCAGTTCTTTGTTTTTTGTGATACATCACTCAGTATTATATTTACATTTCTTTAATGACTAATGAGGTTTTGAGCATTTTTTTTTCGTTTATTTGCCATTCATCTAGTTTCTTCTTTGGTGAACATCCGCTCAAAACTTTTGCCCATTAAAAATTTTTTTCGTTATGAGACTTTTTGAAAAAGGTAACATATTCTGAATCAAAATCCTTCTAAGATATGTGATTTGTAACTGTTTATCTCCCATCTGTGGCTTATCTTTTTAATAACTTAACTTTCCCTTATTTTTTGAGTAGCTGAATTTCCTCATTTTGATGAAGTACTAATGTATCATTTTTTTCTTTTATGGATCATGCTTTTTGATGTCATATCTAAGACATCTTCACTTAACCTAACTCCACAAAATTTATCTCCTATGTTTTCTTTTAGAAATTTTAGATTTATGTTTTGCATTCGGGCATATGATACATTTTGAGTTTATTTTTCTGTGTGGTTTGAGGTTCCTTTTTATTTTTATTTTATTTTTACACACAGGGATATTAGTTTCAACACCAGTTATTGAAAATACTTTTCTCTTTTTACTCAATCGACTTGGCACCTTTGTTGAATTTTTTTAAATGACTGTATATTAATGGGTCTTTTTCTGGACTCAGTTCTATTTTGTTGATATCTGTCCTTTCTCCAGTAAAACTGTGTTGGCCATGCAGCAATTGTGATGAAGTTAGCATTGCATATGCATGCTTATTCTTTAGTTTTCCACAGTGCATGATTAGACAGCTATAAGAACTCACCATTGCAGTTAACGAAATATTTGAAGAAGAAATAGAGTTCTGGTTGGTGTCTGAAAACTTTCCCTTGACATCTTCTGACAAGGTCAAGGTAGCACCAGCATATTAAAACTTGTAAAATGAAATTGTGAGGAGGCAGACTCGAATGTGAGATATTCTATAATAAAACAATTAACCTGGTTTCTTCATTAAGACAACTGCATATTTTAAAAAAGGACTGTACTCTATTAAAGGAGACTTAAGAGACAATTAGAAGACTTTGTGTAGATTAAGATTTGATGCATGCTGAAGTATTTATAAGTGGGATATGCTTTAAATTATATCAAGAAAAACTAAAAGGGTGATTGAAGCAGATGACATAATGTTTATCATTTGGTTTAGGATTATTATTATTTTTGAGTCAGTGTTTCACTCTGTTGCCCAGGCTGGAGTGCAGTGGCACCATCATGGCTCACCGCAGCTGTGATTCTCCTGATCTAGCCTCCCGAGAAGCAGGCACTACAAGCACACACCACTATGCCTGGCTAATTATTTTGTATTTTGTAGAGATAAGGTCTTGCTACGTTGCCTAGGCTGATCTCGAACTCCTGGGCTCAAGTAATCCTCCTGTGTTGGCCTCTCAAATGCTGGGATTACAGACATGGACCACAGCACCCAGCCTGTTTGAGAATTTATGGGATTTGTTATTTTTAAGTATATTTAAAGATTTTAATTATAAGAAGTTCTAAAAAATGTGCAGAATGGGTTTTACCAATGGAAGAAAATTATAGAGTTAGGAGTGGGGCACTCTTAAATGCTGCATTGCCAACACTCTTTTTTTTTGAGTTGGAGTCTCACTCTGTCGCCCAGACTGGAGTACAGTGGCCACTCCCGGCCACCGCAGCCTCGACCTGCTGGGCTCTGGCGATCCTTCCTCCTCAGCCTTCCGAGTAGCCGGAATTACAGGCACGCGCTACCACGCCCAGCTAATTTTTTGATTTATTGTAGAGATGAGGTCTCGCCTGCCCAGGCGGGTCTTGAACCCGCGGGCTGAGGCAGTCCACTCACCTCAGCCTCCCAAAGGCGGGGGATTACAGGTTGAGCCACCGAGCCTGGCTGCCAATACTCTTTATGGTACAAAGGACTGTTACGTAGAAAAATACTGACACCAGTGACTGAGATGAAGAGTGATTCAGAAGAGGGGTACTTGGAATATTGATACTGTTTTAGGAATTTTCAACTTATTTATTTTGCTTATATTTGTTTTATGTATAGATAGTAGTAGAATATGATAAACTTGTCTTAGTAAGCTTAAAAGAACTCTTCAAATAAGTGTAAAGTAAAAATCATAAATAATAAGAGAGATGTTATAGTTTGTCACCTTCCTCTTCACTCTCAGTGATTTACAAAATGATGGTGTATCTTAAAATTGTTGGTGCCAAGTGGTGGTGTATCTTAAAATTATTGATGCCTTATGGTCAGTGATTCACATTAAGAGAGAAACGCAGACTAATATGGGATGTTTGTTTTATTGAGAGTTATCTGTCTTTCAATGCCAGAAAAAGTTCTAGCCAAAAAATAAATGTGTGAGAACATAGATTTGTGATACCTTCAGAAAATTGTAGAAAACTTGAATGTTCTGTCCTGAGCAGTGACTGTATGTTGTTAGCAAGAATGTCTGCTTACTGTACTTTATTTCCATTTCTCTAGCTATAAATAACATATATTGTTTTAGACAAAGATTGCTTTGGGAAAATTTGGTAAAGCAGGATTAGCCACATAGGCAGGAAAATAAAATAACCAAGAAAAAAATTGTTTTTATAATTTGCAAAAAATCTTATAGATAAAAAGCGTAATATAAATACCCTTTTTCATATATTGTCTGATGTGAAAATATGGAGATGGATTTTGGTTTGTCTGCTGGTATGGTACAAGCATTCAGGATGCCTTGTGGATTTAATGTGTTTTAATTCTCTGTCAAAATTTTCATCTCTGAATGCTTTTGTTAAGATAATAAAGGGAGAGGAAATTTTCTTCTGAAAATGTTTTCATCTTTTCAATTTTTGCTATCTTGAATTGAACTAGTATAATTTAAAAAAGAAATTAACTGTCTTCTCTAGGGCATTTTATGTCTGTTTATATATTTAGGAAAAGAAAAAAATTTTAAGGAGTGCATGTGGCATTGTTAATTTGCTGAATTTACTTGATGGATTCCTTGTGGCTCAATGTTATAACATATTTCAGAGGCAAACAAGAGACTTCCCAAAATATCAAACATTAACACAATTATAATTTCAGGAAATAAACTTGATGTTCTAGTAAAATTTAATTTCGTAACAGTTTGCCTAAAATTATGTCCTTTAAAGTTCTATTGAGCTATGACCTTCAAAGCATATAAAGAAAATTGTGTAATATTCTGACACTTTTGGACATTTGTTTCCTTTTGATTTTTACTCTGAAAATCACATTATAACCTTAGTATTAATTTGAACATTCTTGTTATATTTAAGTAGAACTTTAACAAACTTAGTGTTTGTGACACTATTAGGTAGAAAGAGTAATTTGAGAATTTCAAATGACTTTGAACAAGCAGGTTGGTAAGACATTTTTGGGAGGAACATTGTATCATACCTTATATTCAGACTTGAAAATCAAAACACATTACTTCCTTCTGTACATAAGTATTTTATAGCTTTGAGCAAGTATTTATTTAACTTTCAATCTTGGTTTCAGTGTGAGATTAGGTGGTTTAGATTAACTTACTAAGTTTGCTTTAGAAAAATGCTTTAAAAGTTCCTTTATTTTCATTTGGATGTCCTTTTTACTGGTTCTTTTTTTTCTTTTTTCTTTTTTTTTTTCAGTTGTGGAAGAAGGACTCTGGGAAAATGGCCTTTCCTATGAATGTAGGACGCTGCTCTTCAAAGCGATCCACAATCTGTTAGAAAGGTAAGAGAAGGAACAGCTTGACAGTGGTTTGGAGACATCCAAGAATATTGCTAGCTACTCAGAGGATTTCTTGTAGTTTTCAGAAAGTTTTCACATAGTATGAAAATTAAGTTATATAAATCTCTTGTTTCTTTCTATATTGGTAAAATTTCTTCTTCTTCCTTCTTCCTTCCTCTTCCTCCTTCCTTCTTCCTTCTTCTTTGTTCTTTCTTCTTCTTCTTCTTCTTCTATTTATTGAGAAGACAGAAAAACTCTCACAGAGGGAGGGAACCCAAGGGGGGGTTACTCAGTAGAATTTCAAATTTAGAGAAGATACAGGAATAGTGGGAAGAACTCCCATATTCCCTGCTCCCCATGCAGTGTTTTTTGCTTGTTTTTTACTGTTTATTCACTAATCCATTCATAGACTGATGCTTTTTTTAACCCTTAAGTATATTAGTGTATATTTCCCAAGGACAAGGATATTCTCTCATATGGGCATAGTGCAGTTAGGAAAGTTAACATTGATGAAATGCCCATTATCTAATTTTGTAGTTTAATTCAGATGTCAGTTGTCTCAGTTGCATCCACTATAGTTTTACCTAAGATTCAATCCATGACCATACATTATGTTTTGTTTTCATATCTTTTAAAATCTAGAACAGTTCCTTAGACTTTCTTTTTCTTTCTTGACGTTTTTAATGAGTTTAAGCCATATGTTGACCCTTAAAGAAAGTTTTCTCTTGCTTAAATTCAGGTTATGCTTTTCAGTAGGATTGCTATAGAAGTGTGATTGTGTCCTCTGTATATCATAATAGCAGGAGGTCTGCACTTCTAGGTAATCAAAGTTGAAACGACATTCTGATACTGTTTAGTTTCTCATCTAAGCTGTTGGCTAGGGTGATATCACTTCAATATCACTGCTCAGGATACTTGAGCTACAGTTGGTAAGTTGTCTCATTTAAGTTACTCATAAAGTCCTTTTCTATTAGAGATCTGTATTTCTCATTCTGAACTTTCACTCTTAACTCTGTAATTTGGAGTAGACCTAGAGGCTGTCTGTTACTAAGGTACAGTATGGATGTGGAACTATTGATTTGGTTTAAGAGTTTTGTACTTTTGAGTATTGTATTTGATAATTCTGTCCCCCCAAAACACAACAAAAGTACAAGCAGACTTTTTTTTAAAGGAAATGTGGAAAATTTACTGTTTTCATAACCCTATCCCAGAATAAAGCTCTTATATCTGTACAATAATTAACGCACTTTTAATACAAATCTTTTAATATAAAATTGTAAGGTATATGAAACAAAATATATAGCTTTTTAAATTGTAGTTCACTGTGTTGCTTTTTATATCATGATTTATTCCTTTCAGAAGAATATTGATGAATTTGTGGTTGAATTGTATTCTTTTTAGTCTTGTATTTGAAATGGTAGTGTGTTTCCTTGCTGGGAGAGAATTAAAGGAGCAGAAAAACTGAGAAGGAAGAGAAATACAGAAAATTCACTTATTCCGACATCATGTATTTGTGATAGAAATTTAAGTCCAGGTCAAATTGAGTTATTACTCATGAGAAAATTAATTGTGACATGCAGTAAAGTTGGGTTAGTTCTAAAGAATCATGAGTTATTTACTTTGGTTTGATTTCAGGATCTGTTACTTGGACAGTTATATCCTAATTTCACTAAACCTTAATGTCTGACAAATTAATTGTGGGATACTATACACCTTGAATTTTTTAAGGATTATATGTATATATGTTCTTATATATATATATATTCTATATTTTCTCTATACATAGTCTGCTGAATAGTGCCTGACATATTGTTAATGTCAATAATTATTAATTTCTTTTCCTCATAAATTTGCTATTTTGCATACTTTGGGATTTTAAAAAATTTTATGAAAGTAGTTTCAGATGATCTGTTTGAATCCTCCTATAGGAACTAATTTTGAAGTACAGTTAACTTTGAAATAAATAGAATAGCTTTTCTTTTAGAAAATCATAATGAGCAATCTCTTTTGTACAGTTTGTTTGGATGACTTGAGGTTCTTTCAAAAAATTGTACTGATTATTTTGTCTTTTAAAATAATAATTTTCTCTTTTCACCAAAATTTAAGTAACTGTGTTCTATGAAGGGAAATTACCCTGCTCATGAGGCAAGAGTGCATTTTAAATGGTGTTTGTTAGCTGCTTTTATTCATTGTCAGCAGAAGCTACAAGGGCTAATACATGCTTGTCCTTTTGTACTTCCCATAGTGCAGACCATTTGCTATAATGTATAAGAACCTATTTACATCTTAAATTTATTGAGATACAGTTTACTATCTTATTCCAGGCAATTGTCAGTCATGTTATCCATTTCTTTTCAGGTAAGATCAACTTGGATTTCTAGTGTGTGGATATTGTGAGTTTTGACATGAAAGCCAGCTTTGAGATTATTAAAACAGACCATCAAGGAGTATATCACTTGGAGGATGTTTGTGCTTTCTGGATTATTTTTCCTTAGTTTGCATATTAACAAAACCTGTACAAGTAATTTATGATTTCTGCTTTTTATTTTTTAAGCATAAGGATAGTTTAATTAAAATGGAATTCTATGTACTACCTTGAGAAGCTCTTGCTTATAGCTAAGCAGGAGTCATATAAATCAATCTTCTTCCCAAAAGACTGCCATTGCTAGTGTATACAGAATGATGTCACTGCAGTGATTTATTAAACATAATTTTACTACAGAAACTAAGGTAACAGTGTATATGTTGCACAGAATAAGATAATTTTATTTTATTTTTTGAGTTGGAGTCTCACTCTGTCGCCCAGACTGGAGTCAGTGGCCGCTCCCGGCCACCGTAGCTCCACCTGCTGGGCTCCGGTGATCCTTCCTCCTCAGCCTTCCGAGTAACCGGAATTATAGGCATGCACTACCACGCCCGGCTGATATTTTTATTTATTGTAGATATGAGGTCTCGCTGCCCAGGTGGGTCTCGAACCCGCGGGCTCAGGCAATCCACTCACCTCAGCCTCCTAAAGGCGCGGGATTACAGGCTGAGCCACTGAGCCCGGTGATAATTTCATTTTTTATTACCATTGATTGGCGCTGAAGTAATACTGTATGGATACTGTGTAAATGTGTATGTGGGAGTGGGTGGGTATATATGTGTGTTTGCATTGAGGCCTCATTCTGTTACCCAGGTTGGAGTGCAGTGGCATGACTATGATGAACATGGCTCACGGTGGTCTCAACCCCTGGGCTCAGGCAATACTTTCACCTCAGCCTTCCAAGTAGATGGGACTACAGGCACGTGCTACCAGGCCTGGCTGACTTTTTTGGTTTTTTGTTTTGTTTTGTTTTTTGTAGAGACGAGGTTTTGCTATGTTGTCCAGGTTGGGAATATTTTAAATGCTAATTTTACATGACTTAAAATATTTTCATCTCTCATTTACTCATTTCTCCTGTAACTCTTCTACAAGTATCTGCCTGTACTGTATTGCATACATCTAGACAGTCATCTGTGCATTAAAACAAACAACATCTCTGCTACTTACTCAAGAACATATTCCATAAAGATATCAGACGTGACTGGGCTCGGTGCCTCAGCCTGTAGTTCCAGCACTTTGGGAGACCTAGCTGAGTGTATTGCCTGAACCCATGGGTTCGAGACCAGTCCGGGCAACTTGGTGAGGCCTCATCTCTACAATATATAAAAAGTTAGCCAGGCATAGTAGCGTGTACCTGTAGTTCCAGCTACTTTTGGAAGGCTGTGGTGGAAGAATTGCCGGAGCCCAGCAGGTCGATGCTGGGGTGGCTGTGAGACTGGGTGGCAGAGTAAGACTCCAACTAAAAAAAAAAAAAAAAAGATAACAGAAGACAACATATTTGACTTTAATTTTATATATCTTTCCAGGGTCTTCCATTTCTAGAGGTTACTTTGAGAGGCAGAAGATAGTTTGGGTCTTGACTCTGCCAATTAACTTGGTAACACATGCCATGACTTAGCTTGCTGAGCCCTTGTTCTTTCCCTATAACATGGTAAAGGGTTATTTGGCTCAACATAGTATTTTTCTCATATAAGAACTTATTAAGTGATTAATTGCTGTTAATAGTAGCAAAGAGAAGCACTAATATTACTGTTTTCAGAGTTGGAGACAATATTGAATGTCAGTGCACTTACCCAATTAATTCTGGAACCCCATTTTTTTTACATGGTCAGACATCCTCTTCTTGATTACTTGTGGTTATGTGAGCACAATTTCCCAAAGGAGTTATTTTTATTTTCAGAGAAAGTCTTTTTTACACTGAGCAGAAATCTGTCTTCCTGTAATTTTCATTTCTTTGTGTTTATTCTATGGGATCATATGGAATTTATCTTCTTACTTCCCATGTGCTGTATTGGATATCTTTTCGTTTGTGATTCTTAATATATAATATTGAATTCCTCACTTTCCTTTACCAGCCTTCCAGGCTTCCCTCTGTTTGGTCCCATTCTCTTCATTTGGCCTGCTTCAGGATGTCAAAAGTGTTTCATGAAGTATTGGAGTGGCCTCTTTAAATTAGTTAGATTAGGTTCAGTTAATGCTGTAGTAATGGAATACTAGAAAGATATTAGTAGCTCATAACAGCAGCGGTTTATTTCTTGCTAATGTTGCATATCTATTGTGAGTGATAATCTATGTTGTGAGTTATATCCCCCTTCAGGACTAATTCTGGCAGAGCAGCCCCTGTCTCACACCTGCTGGGCTCCAGATAGACAACAAAGAGCAGTGACAAAACATATATTAGCCCATTGATGCTTGTTTTCAGAAGTAGTATATGCTATTTATTGGCTAAGACATTTGTCACAGAGTTTAAAGTCAAATGGATAATAAGGTATCATCTTTCAATAGGGAGATACCAAAGTCACATTGCCAACTTTGATGTCATTAGGATGGGGTAGGATAACATATATTTGGAAAAAGAATATATCTACCATGCCTCTTGATTGAGGTATTTCCCCCTTCTACTATTGTAATCTGTCTT